AAGGAGGGCAGCCTACGGCGAATTACAGCACGTTTTTAAAAGAAAGTGCAATACAGCAGCAGCTGCAAAGGAAAGGGAGAGGGCATGGGAGGAAATTGCTGCTCGCGTCAATGCGTAACTCTAAATCTAGTCTTGTGCAATCACAATGACAGACTGTTGCAGGGGAAACTGCGTGCATGGAGCCAATTAATTTATTTTATGTAGGTGCAATCCAGCGGGACAAAAGCGCACTTGGCAGCAGCTGAAAATTAAATATAAAAACATTGTGCAAACAGGTGAGACATCTGCATTTTCTCATTTTGATTATGTTTTACATTGTCAAGTAAGTATTAAGTGGCAGTTTGATCTCTTACAAAATGCTCATTTCACACTCAAAAATGAATTTTACTCTCTTATGATGTTCTGTTAAATGATTGGAATTTTAAACTAACAAAGACTTTCACTCAGCAAACAGAAAGAGGGCAGATGGGCAGAATCAGAAAATCAGAGGGCAGAAAAATGGGTGGTGGCCCAGCAGCCCCACCTTTAACTGACCCTCCTTTGTGAAACAGAAAACTCAGAGTTTCCCTGATTTCAGGGTTAACAGACTCTGAGTTTCCATTAAACCTGCTACGTGAAACGGACCTCTGATGAGCTCTGTACAGAGCAGCCTCTGCCATCAGTATATGAATGTGGTGTAAATAGGTGAATGTGACACGTGATGTAAAAGCACTTCATGTGCTCAGCATGAGAAAAAGCATAAAAACACAATCCACTTACCACACCAAAAATGAGAACTTCAATGCCTCTTTTAGGGCCTCATGAAGTGCAGTTTGTCCTGTAATCAACAACCAGCCGGCAAGGAATAGTCCAGGTGAGAAGCGAAGAGGTCCTGGTTTTGGTTTAGGTTTGATTTTATCTTAGTGAAAAGAGTCCATTCAGTTTGTTTACCCTAAGCTACAGGCATGCATGATAGATATAATTTAAAAACACTACAAATAGCACTAAAGGATTGGCAGCAGGTAAATTAAAATGCAAATTGTCATGCTCACTGAATTGGGAAAATGTAGCTGTGTGGGTGTGTACTGTGCAAACACAGAAAAACAACAAAAGCCAAAAGAAAGAGGTGTAGTGACAAATACATTCACATGTATTTCCTTGATATTTTTATTCAGAATCGTCTCCCACAGTTTACAAGAAAACCCCTGTAGTCCCACGAAGATGATGATTTTGATCTTGTGTGTTATGGTGGGCAGGCGTGAACTGACAGGAAAGACAAGACAAGATATTAATGTTCAAACTGATCAACTTTGTTATTTTGCAAATGTTTATTATTTTGATGCCGTATTTTGGATAGTATAATGATTCAAAAGTATACCACAGCCTGCTCAAATCACTGGCTTCACTTTTCAGACCAACCAGATCAGCCACAGTAAAGCATGACACCAAAACAATTCACAAATGTGTGTGACACAGGTTTTTGTTTCCTGAGCTGAACTAAAGCTGTTTTAAGGTTCCATTTGTCTGGTCCACATCTTGTTATCCCAGCATGCTTTGCATCAACAGATTTGTGCATGAATAACATAAATACAATATGTGGATTTATCTTTGGATGTTTTTATGCATTTTTAAACAGTTTCAGTAATTGGCTCATAGTTAATAGACCTCAGTTCCTCCCTGCAGTTAGAGCCAGATGGTTTTGATGATTTGAACATGAATGAGTTACTGAACACAGGAGTGTGTGTTATTAAAATAACAATTAGCAAAGCATGTTATATGATCACATCAATCTTCTGGTGCTTAAGTCATAATCCTAATGAGTCCAACACTGCATAAGGCCACTTCACATTGTTGTTCAGGATTTGTTTCTATATGGACCTGTTGTCCTACATCCCTACACAGCTGCTTTTAATCCCCTCTGCTGTTTTCTCTTTACCCTAACTATACCTCCAACTCCCTGGCCTTCAAGCTCACTTACAGTATGGATGACACCATCATCAGATGGTCCAACTCTTGTGGGGCTGAGTCTGTCTTGGTGTTTAAACATACATGACGACCACTGTAAGCAGGATAAACCAGGGTTTAGAGCTCTAGAGCTCCTGCACAGTCTCTTGGACCCCATTATGTCCCCTGAACATCTTGTAATTACATACAATAAGCTGCCTGGCCAAATAGTTAAACATGCAGATGTGCTCTTAACTCGCTGACAATGATGCTGTTCCTCCAAGCAGACATCAATGAACCTCTTCTATTTTCTACCTGGTGAGTTTCTGCCCACGCCAAGGACAAAGGCAAACTGGACAGTGTTAGTCTGCAGTGTGCACAGAGGTTCGACCAACTTTTCAAGAAATGTATCTGATTTAAAACCTTGTGTGTAAATGACCAGTCAGGTGTTAGTTTTTATTTTTAGTTTTAATTCAACTTAATAAAAATACTGTATATGTCTCTAAAGGTCACGTAAAGTTTAATTTGATTGAATATGAATTGTAACCAAAGAAAAAAATAGTCAGAAAAACAGAAAGAAGAAAAGAATTAGTCTAAAAAACAGAAGAAAAAAAAAAAAAAGTTTCCTTTTTTTTATTTTTTTATTTGTAAGTGAATGCAACACGTTTCCATAGAATTGCAAGTAATTTTCTGTGTAATCATAGATGGGGGAGCAGCGTCTCAGCTTATCCTGTACATCAGTACAAAGTGCTAAAACATACCACAGCAGATCTCAACACATTAGTTACACTATCAAACTGTAGATCCAGGTTCGTAGACTATTAAATACCATGTTCTTGTAAAGTGTGAGTAGTTTCTGACTAGCATAGGCAAGCCGTCTTCTGATTCCCATGAGCCCACAGAGAAATTACTAGATTCTGATACCTTTGGTCTTAGTGGGAGGAAGTGACAGCTCTCTGCTAGAGACTTCTTTGGAGAAGAAAATGCCTTTTAAAGTGTCTGACCATCCCCCAAAGAGTTGTACGGGCCGACTATATCTGCTCTTGCATCTTCCATATCTTTCCTCGGTTTTGAGAGCTAGCAGTAATAACCAAAACTTTAGCACTGTTAACCAACCAATTATGCAGTATTAAGTGAATGCATTCAATATTGTATCATTTAAATAAAGATATTAAGGTTGTTGTCAATACTGGTAGACCTAGTTCAGACCAAGCAGTGATAAAAATGAAAATTAACAAAAGGCAGGTTTTTACAGTTTATTTGTAAATATGAAGGTATAAAATGAAAAACACCATCTGATCATTTTTGCCTTGGCATGGCAGCATCTGAATGTCTGTAAGTGTGCTCTTATGTATTTGTAGGCTGAGTTCTTACCAAGGTGGAGAATCTTTAGTGACTGTCAACACTGTCTTAAAAAAACTGTAATGATCGAGGCCTCTTAGTTTCTGTAGCAGAGCTCCTTACACTAGAGCAGATATCACAGATCTGCCTTCAGATGACAGCAAAGCTTGAATCAATATAAAACATTTTCCCAGAACTCCGTGACCTGTGATATTTGGTCAAATAAATCTATACTGAAATCCAGGCCCAGTTGCAGATGTTGGCTGTCATTGAACATGAACTGAGACTCAACCGACTAGAGTGTTCCTTGAGGGACTGATTAATTCATATTAAAACCAATATAAGGCAGATGCTGTACATGAGATTCCAGTATTTTCTTTGCTCTCACAGACAAACACATCATCAGAGAGGCAGCAGATCGAGGTTAAGGCAGAAACAGACGCAGCTCTGAGACGTCTATTCACAGCACAAAGTCTAAGACCCCATTTCTATTGAAATAATAACAGCTTGTGTTGCACTGCTTCATTGTTTCCAGGTTTCTGTCAAATCTGGGTTAGTGAAAGACGATAGGAGATTTGCATCTAATCCTTCTTTACATTTGTAGAACAGCATGTTTCACGGCTTTGCTGGAACAACAAAATGTCTGGAGTGTATGATTGTTTAAACCATTTCAGTGGGTTTGGGAACGCTTCGCTCGAGTCAAGTAGGAGTCACTAAAGCCTGAAAGTTTTGAGAAACTGTCTGAGCACCAGACCGAATATATTAAAGAGATTATGTAGAGGAATAAAGGAACTGTAGAGATTAAACCAACAGGGCTCTTAATTCTGACGCCATATCATAGATTGTGGAAAAGAAGTAAGGTGGAAATTACTGCAAACTGTATGTGTGGATCAAACCAATAAATTAATGAATTAAAGTCCCACTCTGATCATTTATTGTTACTACTTACTACTTATAGTGTTATCAGTGGTCTTTATGTTGTGATTATAAAATCTTTGCCAAAATCGCGTTACCCTTGTAATTTTCAAGGGCTTTTCTTCTACAGAGCTCCAGTAGCTTATTAGCAACTCCCCTCATGGACGGAGACAGCGCTGCTCTGCACACTCCTCTTCACACTCCTCTTCACACTAGCTTGTAGCTTAACACCACCATTGTAGTTGAAGTGGCAGGTAACAATATCAGACCTTTGGCATAATGCTGTAGAGCTGCTGCAGTGTATTCCTGTCATCTGCTGCCACTGTGATGGAAATGATGACACTTTTAAATGGCACATTTGCCTTTTAAAAACTCCCAGATACATGAGTTTAAAAGTCAAAAGCAACATGAACTTTGAGTGAATGAATTTTATTTTGTTTTATTTTTCCCAAAGTCCTTTTATTTACATTTTACATCCACACTTCACCAGCATTTGGTCATTTGTAAATTCGCTTTATTCTTTCTACTAAAATATCCATACACATTTTGCAGTGGGGTTAAATTAAGTTCTGAGATTCTGATATTTATTGTAAATTGCTGCTTAAAACACCTCCTTTATAGTGCAGTGTCCTGCCAAAACCTGAGCTTCAGCATGCACTGATGTGCTGAAATCCTCTGGCTTTGCTTTCAAATCATTGTACCACTACAATCTTTTCTTGAAGACTTAAAAACAGGCAACTGGACTGCGTGGACTGAAGCTGAACTGCTGTGACGCTGCGGGAACAGTGTTTTCTTTTCTCGGTCGCTTTTCTGGATACAGGGGAGGAAGAGAGAACTGCAAGTTGAGGATCTATGTGGATATTTTCCATAAACAAGGTGAAAGCTCTTGATGTGAGGCACCATTTGGAGCTGTGATGTTTTTTTTAAAGGACTTTCAGGAGCCTGGACTCAGGCCATGCATTGAAGCTGGGAGAAATAGAAGTTTTACTTGCCAGAGGAGAGCTCCTGCTAAAGGGAATGCAGCTGTCATTGCAAGGACTGTCTCCCTTGATTTCGTATTGCTGATGTTGCGTTTCAGAAAAGCATTCATTCTGCCATGGATCCTCGTCGTGGGCAGCGATCGACATGAAGAAGAGCACGGTAGGAAAAAGCAAAAACGCAGATCTGAGTGTTCTTAAAATTGGGAGTGTGCAGAGTGGTTGCAGCAGCTTCCTGGTTAGCTGTTGAAGCAGAGGAAAAGGCTGGGTTAGGGCAGTTTTAAATAAGGCGCTCTATAGGCATAGGTCCAATAGGAGCTAGGAGTGAATCAACTGGCTATCGTCTGGTTGAGGTAGCTACTAGCCACTGGCTGTGGATCAGCGCTTGATGTCGAGACCTGACAGAACTAACGCTATGCTTCATTTCTAATTAAAACGTGAAAATGTAAACAAGCATGTGCAGCAGTCCCGACTTTAGTCCAGTTAATCAAAGCCCTGTTGTTGAAATGAGTTTTACTGAGTTTATTTCTTATAGTCTTTTCTTTTTATTAGTTCTTAGTTAGACAACAGAGCTTGTGGTGCTGTTCCTGAATATAGCCGATTCAGCTTAAGGCAGAGTTGTGCTGTCCTAAATATGTCAGCACAAATAGCTACTGTGTGTGTGTGTGTGTGTGTGTGTGTGTGTGTGTGTGTGTGTGTGTGTGTGTGTGTGTGTGTGTGTGTGTGTGTGTGAGTGTGTGTTATCAGTGAATGTACATTATCTCCTGGGAGGTTTGCAGTTCCACACGATACCACAGAGCAGAGTGTCACACCAATCAGAGTGGAGGTCATAGGGCAGATTGAATATCAGATGAACCACATGACCGGAGATGACCATGAGGTGACCATGACGGTGTTAATAGGACTGCTTGGTCAAGCTTAAGTTTGGTTACAGACTCAGTGTGCGTCTGCACTCTGAAAATGTGAGTGTGAATGTGTGAGCACCCATGTGAGGGTGGGATGGAGTGAGGATACATGAGGTTAATTCCACGCTGCCAGATTACGGGGTTACTGAGGTTAGAAAATGAATTAGCTCTATTAACTATAATTAACTTACAGTCCACTCTCTCTCTAACACTCCCCCTTTCACAAGCAAAAAGCCTCTGTTTCCCACAGTGCTGTTGGCCCATAGTGCGTTATTATAATGCATATAATAGCATTTTTTGGAATAGGTTTTTTTAGCATAGAAGTGTTAAGAAAAGGTTTTAAACTGGGACTTAGAGGAAAGTTAAGGGAGATACAGAGCATGCAGATAATAGTGGTCATGGGATGTTAGTTATGGTCAAGGTCGGGGTCAGACATACCGCAGCATTAAGAACTCTGACACAGAGCTCATGAAAGCAATTATTAAGGTTATTAAGTCCTCAGAGGTCTGCAAAAGAAATTGAAAACCAGGGCTTAATTGAGGACTTTTGTAGAGCTGTTTCTAGAGAGTTCTTAGTGATAAACATCCTAGAAAAAATCTAAGCAAAATAAGGTAATAACCATATCATTAAAGAAACAATTAGTAGATTGTGGATAACAAGTCAACAGGACATTGTATTGTGGTGTATTCACACAAGATATTTCAGTTTTTAACATGATACTTAGCCGTAAGCATAAACTTTATCAGATCAAATTCTAAAATTAACAGGAATTTTTCTGGCTCAGTGTTTTTTTGTTTTTTCTACCTTTTGTGCCTTTGAGCACACCATCATTGCACTCCAGCTGCCACAGTGAACAAACATGATGACACTGCTAGGCTCTGAAATGGCCCACTTCACTTTGAACTGCCTGAGTGCTGAGTAGACAAGTCAAAAGTCATCTACATTTTGTGCCAAACAAAATGAAAATATAACTAAAATACTTCAGATTTGACCCATGAGCCAAGCCTACAGGTGCTCCCGAATAGACTGATGTAAGCATGGAAAAAAGCTGGCGGAGTGCTATTTTAAAGTGGCTCTGTTTTCACGGTTACTCCAATATGCTTTACTGTCACGAGTGACAGTTTCACTGAAATGGGACTTTGGAAAAAGAGACATCAACCAAACTAAAACTCCTGAAGTACAAATAAAGTTAACCAACGTAAAACTAAAAACCCTCAGAATGTGTGTTCCTCTGATCAGTCACCATTGCGTTCTAGCTCTGGACAGCACGCGTCAAGTCATGTCCTCACTGGAAATGTAGCAGCAGTTCTGTTTTGAGGGTTATCAACCTGAGTGATTTTCAGTTATTGCTCCAATGAGACTAAGAGAATGTGTGATTCTCAATAGATGGAGAAAAGAAGAATGAGTTGTCCTCAAAGTCCTTTCATGAGAAACCAACCTTTTTCAAGTTTGGGCAGGAGCTCAGTAAAACCAAACATAACCTGACAATTGCATTTAATCTTCCAGCTATTTTGTGTTGAATGAAATCTTGAAAATGCCCAAAACAAATTTGAGTTCAATGTTTGTTTCTTGGAGTCCAACAGTTGGAAGTGCATGAAAGGTCTCAGTAACTGCCAACATTTTCATTATATCCAGTGTGCTTACACAACTGAGAGAGTTTTGTTTTGCTCAAACAGCAATGAAAAGAAAATAAGAAAGGTAAGCATCTTTTTCAAAAACTATTTTTTTCCTTTCCAGCAGAGAAGAAATTTTAAGATTCCAGTTTATCAAATTAAAACAAATTAAAACAAACATCGACAAACAGCACAGTGGGTCTGATTTAACAAAGGACCCTGTGAGATCATTAAACTTCCAGATTACCTCCCCAAAGCCCCACATTAGAGTTTTTTCAACACTTCCATGATCATTACCAGACACAAAGATTGGTAATAATGATAAAACCATCTACAACACATGGATGTTTACTTCTTTTGTGGTCTGTTCAGGACATTTCTTTAATGATTGGTCCATTACACTGTCATCTGTCAGAGCTTAACAAACAGATGTGGGGTAAACTGCAAGTATTACTTATTTCAATCATTTGGAAACATGGCTCTTTTTCCAGCACCCATAAAGCTCATTAAGTACGTGACATGTTGTCCCCCATGTGTTTGATCCATTTAGTATAGAAAACTATAAAAACCCCAACCCTCTTGACTCTGACTCCAAACTTGATGCAAAGATTAGCTGATTTGTGTGTGTATGTGTGTGTGTGTGTGTGTGTGTGTGTGTGTGTTCAAATCTCTTATTAAACATTGACCTCTTGAATTGATTTAAAATGTAAGAAAGGTTAAGATTTGAAACCGATTTAAGAAAAGTTTGGTGTTGAGTTCAGATGATTAATGTACGATAGAGAAACTCACACATGCACGTCCTATGTCAATAGACTGTATATACTACGGACAACTTAACTCTGCCTTCCATCATTATATGAATTTGAAGCTAAATTGCTCTTGGTATTTCCGGGTTTTTCTCCACTTCCTGATAACCACCACTTGCGCAGTAGCATTGTACGCATTCAGCGGGAGAGTCGCTGTGATGACGCTCAGCTCAACCAGCGTATCTCCCAGGTGAGCTATGCAATCTTCATATGCCCATAGGCTGTATCAAGTGTCAATCATAGAAGACACGAACCCCCTAATAACTTTTAAAACTGGAGCTGTACAGAAAAAAAGAGGACCTGAGAACAAACCAGTCTTATAGTAACTTCATATCAACATAGCAACCAGGAGGGAGGAAAATTTAAATTCTGTGTAATTAATTTTTAAAGTTTGTCCACAGCCCCATAGGGATTGCTGGAGGAGGTGAGATCTATGACCTATACTGCGGCCCTGTTCTCAGAGTGGCTTCACCCAGCAAGGAGGCAGATGGCGTCCATTCTATATACAGTCTATGGTTGTGTCATTGTTGGGAGACGCTGTTGCTGTTTAGTCTTGACCTGGCATTTAGGGGTTAATTCAACAGAGTCAGGTTTTCCAGGGGGAAATTAGCAGCATTGACGGTAAAAGTGAGGGCATAGCATGCATTGTGGCTTGCATGCACTCTTTGAGGGTGCATGTGTCTGCTTAAAGTGTGTGTGTGTGTCTGACTCTTTCATTCCACAGCTTCTTACAGGGTCATCTCTGTCTAAACCTCCCTGTCTAAGGATTTGAAGACTCTCCAGCGGGTGTTTGTGTTTGTGTTTATGTTTGTGTTGGAAGGAGGAGTCGCTTCATAGTCTCATAGCAGGCGCAGGGAGACTGGGGTTATGCCAACTGTTATCAGGTTGAGTGGCATTTGGAAGCGGTAAACAGCTTTGTATGCTGATGTGAGAGCAAACTGTTGCACCCATAGGTGACATCAGGCCAGCAAAGGCAATCCTGGTGCAACAACATGGAAAAAAACAAACACTCACGGGGTGAATCCTGCTCTGTTTCATATGGATTAGACTCTCTGACATGACAAAATGTGGACTTCAGAGGTGCATCCATACTAACCATTCATGTAAACAACAGAAAAAACAAATCCAGGATGAGTTAGAAGAAAAACAGCCAGAACACAAAAAAAACTAGGGGGAAAAATCACCTACTGTGAGGTTTTTAGTAATAAAATATTGATAAAAAGTACATTTGATTTCTAGTTCTTAGTATTATTTATAATAGGGTAATACTTCTCCAAAAGAGTGTTGAGTTCATAAAGAAAGAGGTACAAAAATCCTAGTATTTTAATCAATAAATAATTGAATTTGTACATGTAAAGTCTTTCCTTATATACTGCGAGAGGCGCTAAAACTTTGCCGCTCTCTTTCTTCAGTCAGCCCTCCTGGTTATAATCTTGATCAGTCTCCTATTCTTTAAACATTCCCTTTGAGATGTTTCTCACTTGTTCTGTTTATGCCCGTTTCTTTGTTCAAGAAACAAAAACCGGTTCAAATCAGAGACTATCGCACTCTTGTCTATCTTTTCTTTTCCAGAGCCCAGAGAGGCTTGTTCTTGTTCTCCAGTGTAGTCAAAAGTTTGGAAAGTGTCCAACTGTCACAGAAGTGAGATAATCCTTTAAAATCATGCTGGTCCTGTCACAGTGTCCACAAAGCCAGTCTCCTTTCCCTGTCAACTGCTCTCTATCAGTAACACTATGGGGGGCTAAGCTGACTCACACACACACACACACACACACACACACACACACACACACACACACACACACACACACACACTCACACACGCAGACACACACACAAGCATCCTCTCTGTTCACAGCTGTCTGTTATGCTTGTTAGCCAGAGGACATGCTAAGCTGATGTCTGCTCACTTATCCACTGCCTTCCAGTGTGTGTGTGTGTGTGTGTGTGTGTGTGTGTGTGTGTGTGTGTGTGTGTGTGTGTGTGTGTGTGTGTGTGTGTGTGTGTGTGGCCTTAGGAAGCAGACTGAAGGCAGCTCCAGAAGAGTTAGATTAGATCCTTTTTTTTTTAAGGCCTGCGGTTGCTTATAGTGTTAAACTGATATGCAATCAGCGGGCAGCGCTGCCTCAGAAGGATCACTTTCATTGATCAAGTGATGCAGAGCCACTTTGAAGAGTGGGAAGTAGAAGACAGCTTGCCAGCACTGTGTTGTGCAAACAAAATTATGGTGAAAGATTTCCTGTGTGGATACCTCCTACTAAGAGGAGTCTGGTGTGAAAATGCCAAGCACACATTCATAAATGAGTTTAAGGACAACATAACATGATATATCAGAATTGCACAAAACTGTGATAATAGAATAAAATAGAATCTTATTCTCCTTTTAACATTTACAACGAAATTTAAAAAAGCCAAACCAGTCAGTACAACATTCAGGTCATATATAAGACTTAAAAAAAAACTTTAAAGAGCGTTAAAAAAGGATAATAATAATAATAATAATAATAATAATAATAATAATAATAATAATAATAATAATAATAATAATAAACAATTCTGATAATATCTGAATAATTAAGCAATGACAGACAGACACACAACCATACATTCACTCATCTGTTAATTGCAGAATCCCTTGTTTTTCAAGCATTAGGTGTTGGATTTATTCAGTGTAAATATTTCTGTGGGATAGAAGCTGTCTCTGATTCTATTTTTCCTCATTCTGATTGATCTGTACCGTCTGCCTGACAGCAGCAGCTCAAACAGAAAGTGACCAGGGTGTGAAGTCTCCTTTATGACGTTTTTGGCTTTTTGGAGAAAGCAGGAACTGTGCAGTTTTTCCAGAGTGAGGAGAGGGCAGCCGGAGATCTTCTGGGCTGTGTTAATGACCCTCTGGAGTGCTTTCTTCTGAGCTGCTGTGCAGCTGGTGTACCACACACGTACAATACGACAGTATGCTCTCCATGGAGCCCCAATAGAAGGATACCAGCAGTTTTTCCTGAGCACCCAGAGAAAGTGCACTCTCTGCTGGGCCTTTTTCTGCAGCTCAGGTGTTCATGTTTCAGGTCAGGTTCTCCCTGATGTGGACTCTTAAGAAGCAGAAGTCTGCCACCCTCTCCACACATGACCAACAATGACATCATTCTGAGCAAAAATATGAATGAGAAATTGTCCTCTCACAGATAAAGCTTCAAGGACAGTTTCAGCAGGTCAAACTGTTCATTTTCTAAGCCTTTAATATTCAAGATAGATAAAAAAAGGCACAAAAGCTCCATAAATGTGCCTTTAAATAACAAATTACATGGAAAAGTTGTGTTCCCTACAGCATGACACAGCACATGTGGCAGTGGAGGAATCGGCAGGAGTGAAGAGGGCCGCCCTCTCATGCACACACACAATGACACACATATTATCACTACAACAAAGGCAAACAATGATTTTAATAGGCAGGATAGGAATCTGCAGTGTCTCAAGAACAACTGTGAGTAGAGCCTTAATCTCAGAGGATCACACACACATGGACAGAGGACGTACGAACACACTCACACACAAACCAGCTTCCATGGCTCATCGGTTTACAGAATGCTGAGTGCTGCACTCTGCACAGTAATAAAGGATCATTTACAATCATTCATTATCTCTGTCTCTCTCTCTGGACCAACATGTCTGTCTATTAATCTCTCTGCCTCCTTTGCTTATTCCCTCCATTCCTGCCTGTTGTTCATTCTCTCCAAAGACCATTTATATCTATTTCTTGCTTTGCTCATTTCTTTCTTTCTTTTATTCTGGTGACCTTTTCCCCTCACTATTTTCTGCTCTCCATTCCCCTTGCTTTCCCACATGTCCCATTTCTTTCTCAGCATAAATTGGGTTATCTTAATGGAAACATGTAAAGGACATTTGTTGTGTGGTAGCCTGCAGACATGTGTTGGCTTATTAGAACAATTCCTCCACCAAGACACAGATCTCTGACTTTATCGGAAAATACACAAATGTTAACATATAAAGATAATTAAGGCAATTTATAGAAGTATAGAAAATGCAGAACCAAAGGCCAAGAAAAAGTCACAGTGTGCTAAATTGTTTATCATTTATTTTACATAAACCTCCTTAGTGGCAGAGTGTATGTGCACATGATTCCTGGTCCAGATGTTAAGAGTCTAACAAAATCATTAAATGGCAGTTCTTATGTTGGATTTTATGTCAACTACAGTATGTACACAGATGGATCTCATAATCTTTATTGCAATCCCCTGCTAAACTTTCTATCCTGTTTACGTTTCTGCTTTTCTAATCTGCTTTTTACTGTTTTCAAGACCCGCTCCGATAAAGACATTTTTTTCTTGTTTTTTACATGTTTATATGACATTTTCTGGTGCTACAGGACATATCATGAGAAAAGTAAGTGTGAAATTGTATTTCTGCGCATTTCTGCATTCCAATTGCTGTGAATCTCTGGCAGACCCAAACGACAGGCTCAGCTTCAGAGAGATTTCTTACATAGCAAATCCAAACTCCGCCCCCGGAGCCCCGCTATGCAGGCCAGACTTGGAAAAGTAGAGAGGACAATCACGGAGCAAGTGTGTGTGCTAGCGGATTGCATTACCATAAGAAAGCTAATTATGATATTAACTTTCATCATGCCCCCAAAGACATTAGTGTCTGAGAGCTGAATAGCTCTTATGTTACCTGCCTCTACTACTACACCGTCAATGTAAGCATGCGAGGTAGCATAAAGAGGAGTGTGCAGAGCAGCGCAATCTCCGCCCACGACTCAGAGGCGAATTACTAATGAGCTACTGGAGCTCTGCAGAAGAAAAGCCCTTGAAAATGACACAGGTAACGGGATTTTGGCTAAAAACTTAAAAGACCACTGATAACACTCCAAGTAGTAAAAAAAAAAAAGAACGATCAGAGTGGGATTTAAAAGAATAATGGTTTGAAAGAAAAGCCAGAAGATTTCAGCACACCAGTGCATGCTCAAGCTTAGGTTTTGGCAGGACACTGCAGCAATTTTCAATGAGTATCAGGATCTCAAAACTTAATTCAACCCCACTGCAAAATGTTTATGGATATTTAAGTATAAAATAAAAAGCAGATATACTAATTCCCAAATGCCAGTGGAGTTGGGAAATGTGAATAATAGTACTTTGGTAAAAAAAAAAAAAAAAAATCCATTCACTCAAAGTTCATGTTGCCTTTGACTTTTAAACTCATGTATCTGGGAGTTCTTAAAAGGCAAATGTGCCATTTAAAAGTGTCATCATTTCCATCACATTGGCAGCAGATGACAGGAATACACTGCAGCAGCTCTACAACAGTATGCCAAAGGTCTGGTATTGAACGATGAAAAAGGACTGGGATGCAAACTCAGGACACAGGCAGAAAGTCAGTGTCTGTTTAATCAGAAGCAGAGGTCGGTACAGTGGAGATCAAAACACAGAGAGAGGTTTCCAAATCAAAAGGCAAAAAGCAAGGTCAAAAAATACTGGACACTGGTCAGAGCCACCGAGGCAAACACGGGGAAAAAGATAGGAGGGCTTCTTCAAAGGACAAGATGAAATGGCACAGAGGGAAGCAAACACTGACAGCAGGAAGAGGAGTTAACAAGACTCAGGTAAGACACATCAAGGTAATCAGGGGAACAGGTTACACAGGGAGCAGGAAGTCAGCGGGAGTATCAAAATAAAACTGGAGACACAAGAAATGGAACATGGGGGAATGAAGCAAAGCAACTAAACTAATCAGGTGATGTGACAAAAGAGGGAATATTTA